ATCTCCCTGACAGATGTGCAAAATCCGGGATGCTGCGACCTGACACCTGCCGGTGTAAGACCTTTGTCTCGAGGGTAAGAAGTCGCCGCTCATGCATGGAATTAGCAGTCTGGTGCTGGTTCACAACCTGTAGACATGTATATGTATACGAGGTCAAAGATCTAATGACACGAAGTGTAAGGGCCAGGGTGAGGGGCCATACACACACCAGGTGAAGGCGGCCATACACACACCAGGTGGAGGGGGCCATACACACACTAGGTGGAGGGGGCCACACCAGGTGAAGGGGGCCACGCACTCACCAGGGGCCAGATTCACGAAGGTACTTACGAAGGTTTTCCTTCTTAGCTACGAATGTTTTCCTTCTTAGCGCCTTCCTGGCGGCAACGTCGGTATTCAGGTAGATACACTAAGTCGAAAAACCTTCCTAAGTTTGGTCCGGCATCTAAGTGTGGTGTCGACCACTCGTAGCTTTACGTAAACTGGATATAACTAAATTTTTCTCTACTACATAACACTGGGATCGATTTTAAGATTTTGGAACATGAACAAACTATTATAGCTGGTGAACCTCGTGAAGAGGAGTCCTTCGTGTTAGTTATATATGCATTCTCTGCTTGAAACTTGAAGTAAATATGTGTTTGGTGATAGTAGAATTAGTTTTATAGCAAGATATTATACCAGTAGTTATTAAGTAAATAAACACTGGTGAACATGAAATATGAGAGAAGGTGATGAGCCCTGCCTGATGGGATCATTTACTATCACCAAATGCCCCTGTTCACCTAGTAGTAAGGGTGTACCTTAGCTTACATACCCATTTCTAATTTATTTAGTTTGGGACCAGGTTTAGAGCGTGTATTTTTAGACAAAACAGACTTATCTAAAGTGGAGTAATATCTGGACGCTGCAGAATAATTCATCTTGACAACAACATAAGAAGAAAGGTAACTGCAAAAGGCCTATTGGTTAGTACGAGGCAGCTCCTGTGGGTGGTGAAGGAGGAGGGGAGAGGGGAGAGAGGTGGTGGTGGTGGGGGAGGCGGGGATGGGGAGGAGGGATGGGAGGAGAGTAGGTAATGGAAGCCCCATACCGAAGGAGTAATAGGTTACGGGGCGAGGGAGCGGTAGAAAATATGCTAGTTTTATTTTAGCGAAGAGGATGGAGAGGAATAGGGTAGTGAGGGAGTACCTGTGGAATGGCGAGGTGTTAGGGGTGGGGAGGGAGGGAGGGGAATGGTTGGTGGGAGGGAGGGAGGGGGATGCTAGTGGGAGGGAGGAGTGATAGTTGGAGAATGTGTCCAGTAAACAGTGAAGGAACTAGCTACAGACATGAGGGAGTGAGGCAGATGCGTGCTGTGAGCTGCTACCTAACAGTGCTTCCCTACCACTAACAGAGGGGTAAGTGAGCACTACCCTTGTTGTACCTCTTGCCTTACAATCTGACTATTCTCCCTCCCCAATTATTTGCTGAATCTGGCATAAACAAAACTTGGATGGTTACCTTGAGGCTACCTTGAGGTGCTTCCGGGGCTTAGTGTCCCCGCGGCCCGGTCGTCGACCAGGCCTCCTGGAGTTGTTTGGTTGTTTAAGATTCGCTACTTGGAACAAAAAGTTCCAAGTAGCACGGGCTATGGCGAGCCCGTAGTGCCTCTTACTTGGATGGTGGTGGTGGTTTCCATAACTTCTCTCAGTACATTCCATCAGCATGTCCTTCCATTTCCTACACTCATTTGCGTTTCCTGTTTCAACAATGTCCCCTTTGTTGATGCTCTCGTTTAGGGTAGCGGGGGTTGTGCTGTCTTAACCGGTCCTTGTAGCTCAGGCCTCTCAAGTCTGGCACGGGGGCCGGTACAGGCCTCGCGTCACCTGCATACACTGTCTTCACTCTTATGATGGATTTAATTCAAAATCTAATGGATTTTGAACAATAAAACACAGGTGTCACGTGGGTGGACACGGGTGTCACGTGGGGGGGGGGGGGGGTGGGGGGGACACAGGTGTCACGTGGGGGGGGGGGGACATGGGTGTCACGTAGGGTGGAGGGACACCGGTGTCACGTGGGGTGGGGGGGACACAGGTGTCACGTGGGGGGGTGGGGGGGGGGACACAGGTGTCACGTGGGGGGGGGGGGGACACAGGTGTCACGTGGGGTGGGGGGACATGGGTGTCACGTAGGGTGGGGGGGGGACACAGGTGTCACGTGGGGTGGGGGGGGGACACAGGTGTCACGTGGGGTGTGGGGGGGGGACACAGGTGTCACGTAGGGGGGGGGGGGGACACAGGTGTCACGTGGGGTGGGGGGGGACACAGGTGTCACGTGGGGTGGGGGGGGACACAGGTGTCACGTAGGGTGCGGGTACCTGTGGAGTCAGCCTTCTCCACTTTACGTCCTAAGCCTATGTACCTATTCACGATTCTGATTGAAATAATAGTTTGAAACAACTCCCTAGTCTCCGTCTGTGACTTCTGGCTCGAGGAGTACCTCAGGGTACTCCTCGAAGGGGGAGACGGGTCCACTCAAGTGTCAGCTCCAAGCTCCTATCTGTCTCTCCCACACCAAGAGGGTAACCTCGACATTACCTGTGTCCGACTTCCAGGCTCCTCCAGGCTTCATTACAGCGTCATGGCTTTAGTTAAAGTAGAAGCCCATGCAACCGTTCTATTGGACCGAACTTTCAGTCTGTCCAAGAGAACTGTAGTTTCTTGCACGCTTCCACTCTGTTCATCCCTTCATAATGTTTTCGTAATCCAGCAACGTTGAGAGGAAGGAAAGTATTCGTTCTGGGAGATCTTTCACGTCGGGAACATTGTAGATGTGTCTTGTGTTCTATGTCGCATGCATCAACACCATCATCAATAACATCTATAAACATCCATGCCCACTTCCCAGATAAGGTCATCCATGGCCAGGTATGGTCATCCATGCCCAGGTATAGCCACCCATACCCCAGGTATAGCCACCCATGCACCAGGTATGGTCACCCATGCCCCAGGTATGGTCACCCATGCCCCAGGTATAGCCACCCATGCCCCAGGTATAGCCACCCATGCCCCAGGTATGGTCATCCATGCCCCAGGTATAGCCACCCATGCCCCAGGTATGGTCATCCATGCCCCAGGTATAGCCACCCATGCCCCAGGTATAGCCACCCATGCCCCAGGTATGGTCACCCATGCCCCAGGTATGGTCACCCATGCCCCAGGTATGGTCACCCATGCCCCAGGTATAGCCACCCATGCCCCAGGTATAGCCACCCATGCCCCAGGTATGGTCACCCATGCCCCAGGTATGGTCACCCATGCCCCAGGTATGGTCACCCATGCCCCAGGTATAGCCACCCATGCCCCAGGTATAGCCACCCATGCCCCAGGTATGGTCACCCATGCCCCAGGTATGGTCACCCATGCCCCAGGTATGGTCATCCATGCCCCAGGTATAGCCACCCATGCCCCAGGTATAGCCACCCATGCCCCAGGTATGGTCACCCATGCCCCAGGTATGGTCACCCATGCCCCAGGTATGGTCACCCATGCCCCAGGTATGGTCACCCATGCCCCAGGTATAGCCACCCATGCCCCAGGTATAGCCACCCATGCCCCAGGTATGGTCATCCATGCCCCAGGTATAGCCACCCATGCCCCAGGTATAGCCACCCATGCCCCTGGTAAGGTCACCCATGCCCCAGGTATGGCCACCCATGCCCCTGGTAAGGTCATCCATGCCCAGTCTCCTGAATGGTCTTATTATTTTGCAAATATATTGATAATCAAGTATCTATATATGGTACTGGGAGCTCGCCAGTATTACAAACAACCTTCTATGTTGTCGAGGTCAAACACGTCTGGGTTACGTAAGTTGAAGACAAACATCATTAGTGGATACTTAGAGGAACTGAGTTACTACAGCAACTTTGAGAGGCAATGAGTTACTACAGCAACTTTGAGAGGCAATGAGTTACTTCAGCAACTTTGAGAGGCAATGAATTACTACAGCAACTTTGAGAGGCAATGAGTTACTTCAGCAACTTTGAGAGGCAATGAGTTACTTCAGCAACTTTGAGAGGTACAGTATGCTACACAAAATTCACACAGATACAGGGAGGCATGCCAGGCTCCCCCTCCCACTGTTTACATACCCAGGGAAGAGGGTAAATTGCCCAGGAGGCCTCCAGGAGGCCCCCAGGAGGCCCCAGGAGGCCCCCAGGAGGCCCCCAGGAGGCCCCCAGGAGGCCCCCAGGAGGCCCCCAGGAGGCCACCAAGCCTCGCCCGTCCTCAAAACACTAATAAATCTGTCAATAAGCCTTAAGCTAGGATTCAGAGAGATTTCAAAGTGAGTTGGTTGCTTCTTGCCTTTACCACTCGATTCCTATCTCTCACTCCCTACCTTCTCTTCCCTCTCTCTCTCTCTCTCTCTCTCACTCCCCCCCCTCCCCCTCTCTCTCTCTCTCTCTCTCTCCTCTCTCTCTCTCTCACTCCCTCCCTCTCTCTCTCTCTCTCTCTCTCACTCCCCCCCCCTCTCTCTCTCTCTCTCTCACTCCCCTCTTCCACGCCCTCTCAGCCGTGTATGTATCGCCAGAGCAGCCTAACGCGGCTCAACACATCAGCTTCCGCGTATCTGCTTTCATCTCTAATTAGAGGAAAACGTTAACATCTTTCACGGGATGTCACTTGCTGTAACCCTCAACTTCTCTACCTTTTAATAAGCGCCCAATAAAGAACTGAGGAATCTGGACAGACTGCTGACATTCCTTCCGCTGATGTGAATGGCTGTCAGCCACCGACCACTGACCGCTCGGGACCTGGTTCTATTCACTTGAGATTCCTTAAGGCGTCAATTTGCTTCAGACTGATTGGTTTGGACCTTACATTCGTAACCAATCACAGACTGACATGTGTCACTTGCCTCGTTTAACTGCCCCAGGTCTTGGTGATTAGACGCAGGCTGCTTCCCAGAAGCTCAAGACAGCCGCCAGCTCTTTAGGGAGTTTGGGGTAAATAATGCTTTCTGACTTTATGGAGTCTTATGTACGACCAGCACCATGTACGACCAGCACCATGTACGACCAGCACCATGTACGACCAGCATCATGTACGACCAGCACCATGTACGACCAGCATCATGTACGACCAGCACCATGTACGACCAGCACCATGTACGACCAACACCATGTACGACCAGCACCATGTACGACCAGCACCATGTACGACCAGCACCATGTACGACCAACACCATGTACGACCAGCACCATGTACGACCAGCATCATGTACGACCAACACCACGTACGACCAGCACCATGTACGACCAGCACCATGTACGACCAGCACCATGTACGACCAGCACCATGTACGACCATTATCATGTACGACCATTATCATGTACGACCAGCATCATCATCCCCACTTAATTGCTATACCTCCAAGCACCCCCCTCACCCCCCCCCCCCCCGCCCTCATTACCAAGGATGAGATTGCTGCTCACCGCCCCTCACCCCCCCCTCACCCCCTCCCCCCCTCACAATCACCCCCCCCCCTCCCAAGAGCCAACACAGTCATTGTTAATCAACAGTGATTGTGTGAAGCTTATGACGCTAGAGACTAAGCAATAGAAAAATTAATAGTGGTGAGATATATAGGCCTATAAGATATATATATATATATATATATATATATATATATATATATATATATATATATATATATATATATATATATATATATATATATATATATATATATATATATATATATATATATATATATATATATATATATATATATATATATATATACATATTATATATATATATATATATATATATATATATATATATATATATATATATATATATATATATATATATATATATATATATATATATATATATATATATATATATATATATATATATATATATATAGGCAATATTGGAGATGTGTAAAAATGGGAAAATTGACACAGCTGAGAGAGAGAAATCACAGAAAAAAAACTGGGATTTTAATGGTGTCTAAAGTTGCCTGTTGGTTGGTTCCATTAGCAGTATACACAAACAGAAATGTTAATGGTAACCATCAACAGGTACTGAACGGTAATCATCAACAGGTACTGAACGGTAATCATCAACAGATACTGAATGGTAATCATCAACAGGTATACTGAACGGTAATCATCAACAGGTATACTGAACGGTAATCATCAACAGGTATACTGAACGGTAATCATCAACAGGTACTGAACGGTAATCAACAACAGATACTGAACGGTAATCATCAACAGGTACTGAACGGTAATCATCAACAGGTACTGAACGGTAATCATCAACATGCAGACTGAACGGTAATCATCAACAGGTACTGAACGGTAATCATCAACAGGTATACTGAACGGTAATCATCAACAGGTACTGAACGGTAATCATCAACAGGTATACTGAACGGTAATCATCAACAGGTAGACTGAACGGTAATCATCAACAGGTATACTGAACGGTAATCATCAACAGGTACTGAACGGTAATCATCAACAGGTAGACTGAACGGTAATCATCAACAGGTACTGAACGGTAATCATCAAAAGGTATACTGAACGGTAATCATCAAAAGGTATACTGAACGGTAATCATCAACAGGTATACTGAACGGTAATCATCAACAGATACTGAACGGTAATCATCAACAGGTATACTGAACGGTAATCATCAACAGATACTGAACGGTAATCATCAACAGGTATACTGAACGGTAATCATCAACAGGTATACTGAACGGTAATCATCAACAGGTATACTGAACGGTAATCATCAACAGGTATACTGAACGGTAATCATCAACAGGTATACTGAACGGTAATCATCAACAGGTATACTGAACGGTAATCATCAACAGATACTGAACGGTAATCATCAACAGGTATACTGAACGGTAATCATCAACAGGTATACTGAACGGTAATCATCAACAGGTATACTGAACGGTAATCATCAACAGGTATACTGAACGGTAATCATCAACAGGTATACTGAACGGTAATCATCAACAGTATACTACTGATACGGTAATCATCAACAGGTATACTGAACGGTAATCATCAACAGGTATACTGAACGGTAATCATCAACAGGTAGACTGAACGGTAATCATCAACAGGTATACTGAACGGTAATCATCAACAGATACTGAACGGTAATCATCAACAGGTATACTGAACGGTAATCATCAACAGATACTGAACGGTAATCATCAACAGGTAGACTGAACGGTAATCATCAACAGATACTGAACGGTAATCATCAACAGGTATACTGAACGGTGTTCAGTTCATTGAAAAAATTCCCCTTCCTTACCCTACACTCTCAGAAGTCGTGCTTCTGGCCCCAGTACCGACACCTGGGGTCGTGCTTCTGGCCCCAGTACCGACACCTGGGGTCGTACTGGCATGTCTAAGCCATGTGTGCCCAACGAGAACACTTGTGCACACTTGTGAAGTGTTTGGCCACTCTCCTGGTTATCTTGAGATATCTTGAGATGATTTCGGGGCTTTTTAGTGTCCCCGCGGCCCGGTCCTCGACCAGGCCTCCACCCCCAGGAAGCAGCCCGTGACAGCTGACTAACACCCAGGTACCTATTTTACTGCTAGGTAACAGGGGAATAGGGTGAAAGAAACTCTGCTCATTGTTTCTCGCCGGCGCCTGGGATCGAACCCAGGACCACAGGATCACAAGTCCAGCGTGCTGTCCACTCGACCGACCGGGTCCCTGTATCCAAGTTCTTGCACTAACAAGTCTTTCTGCAGCCTCACCCTTTAACAAGACAATAATCTGGCTTTGTTTCTCACCACGTTCCTCCTAACCCACACAACACTTTCATTATTGAGCTGAAGAAATTCAGGATCCAAGTATGTCGGATACTTAAAAATTATAATCCTTACGTAAATGATTCCTACTTCAGGAATAGCAAATCAATATTCTTAAACCCGTCAGTCGTTAAGTCGCCTGGCGTTCCGCGAGCGCTATGTCATGGGTTCGTATCCTGGCCGGGGAGGATTTACTGGGCGCAATTCCTTAACTGTAGCCTCTGTTTAACGCAACAGTAAAATGTGTACTTAGATGAAAAAACGATTCTTCGCGGCAGGGGATCGTATTCCAGGGACCATAGGATTAAGGACTTGCCCGAAACGCTACGCGTACTAGTGGCTGTACAAGAATGTAACAACTCTTGTATATATCTCAAAAAAAAAAAAAAAAAAAGTGTTCAACTGCATCTTCTGTGCCAAGTGTTAAGTAGGGCCGGTGAATACTCTTCTTAAGTAATGTTTCATGTGTGGCCACGTTTGTGGTAGAAAAAAAAAAAAAAAAACTTCAAATTCACCAAATTCCTTGACTAATTGAACCGTCCACTCCAGCTTCTGATGAAAGGTCAGTTGTCACGTTAAAGGAAACAACAACAAGCTCTTCCTGTGTGTCTTGCAACCCGTTCTCGCATTTTCTTACAGTCAATATTGACTTATTAAATACGTGTATATGTGACATACTAAACATACTAGTTTACCTTGAAAAGCTTCATAGAAAACACCGACCTTACCTAACCTTCTTAGTATGTTAAGATAAGCATCTTATTCGTAATTACAATTATTACTTAACCTATTTTAGGTATAGGTTAAGTAATAATTGTAATTACAAAGCAATAAGATGCTTATCTTAACATACTAAGAAGGTTAGGTAAGGTCGGTGTTTTCTATGAAGCTTTTCAAGGTAAACTACTATGTTTAGTATGTCACATATGCACGTATTTAATAAGTCAATATTGACTGTAAGAAAGTGCGAGAACGGGTTGGTGTCTTGCCCTGTGAGGTCCTGTTGCTTCTGGTGAGGTTTTTCTCTTGAGATTGTCTTGAAGTTTGACACCGAGGACCTGTCTGACGTCGATCTGTCTGGCTTCTGCGGACATGGCACAAGATCTCCCTTCACTCGTTGCCTCGTAGCCTGGTGGATAGCGCGCAGGACTCGTAATTCTGTGGCGCGGGTTCGATTCCCGCACGAGGCAGAAACTAATGGGCAAAAGTTTCTTTCACCCTGAACGCCCCTGTTACCTAGCAGTAAATAGGTACCTGGGAGTTAGTCAGCTGTCACGGGCTGCTTCCTGGGTGTGGAGGCCTAGTCGAGGACCGGGCCGCGGGGACACTAAAGCCCCGAAAGCATCTCAAGATAACCTCAAGATAACCTTCACTCAGGTAGACCGCCAGTGTCTTGATCCACAGCCACTGACCTTATGGTCTGCTAAGCAGGTGATCACAGGTTGACAACTGTCAAGAGCACACCTGGACACATCCGTCTGCCACTGAGGATGGGATAGAACTGCCACGAACCATCCATTTAAATATATATTTAAGGCGAGAAATGGAACTCGTCTCACGTCCACAGTTATCAAATTCATGATAACATGCAATAACATACAGCTAAGATATTAGGATATTAGTCATAGATAAACCTTTAAAACTTGGATACTGACATTTATTTTCTGATTATTAGACATTTCGAATACTACTTTACATAACTATCTCAGCAATGCTTGAATCCTCAATAGGAGTAAAGTCATTGCACAGGAAGTCGAGAAATCAATATGGCTGACTACCCATAGTTTCAAAAAACCTTAATAGCAGTGTTGCACCACCTTAGAAAACACTCACCAGATTATCCTGATATGAAGACGTTGATGTGACGACTTATATTGAATTTTGTAACTAGCTCATCAAGATTGTAACTTGCTTAGCTAAATGAATTGTGGGGTTCAGTCCCTGAGCCCATTATGTGCCTCTGTAACCCTTTCCACTACCGCCCACAAGATGGGTATGAGGTGCATAATAAATGAACTAAACTAACTAGCCCCAAGGTCCGTCTCCCTTCCTCTATAGTGTCCACCAGGGGTGGACCAAGACACTAATTGTCCGGTCAAAAGACTCGACTCAATCTGTCTCAATCCGCACAATCTTCCCTCTAGTGTGAAGACTCACAATGATCTCCCCGTTCACACTCTGGTATGCCCACTAAGGAAGACCTAGTCGTCTGTCCGGTCTGAGACAGCAACACACACTGATGTATACAGATTGATTGATAAAGATAGTAATTAAGCCACCCAAGAGGTGGCACGGGCACGAATAGCCCGTTAGTGATTCATTTGAACTTTGTCCCCAGATTTTATGTGGCTCAATGCCTCCTGTTTCTGTTGGATTAACAGACCCGTAGCCCGTAACGGCAAGGGATCATCCCGCCATCCACTGATAACTATTAAAGGTAAACAGGACCCCTACCTCGCCTCCCTGGGTGAGGGAGGTCGTGGGTCCTCTTACAAGGACCAGCCCAGGCCACCTCCACAACTGTTGTTGTTGTAGATTCAGCCGCTGGGAACACAA